TATATTAGATTTCCTGCAGTAGCAGGGAATGAACTGGACTACCTTTGGGATCACTTGGTCCATTAAGAGTGTAGGAGCTATGCTGTAATCTGGCACTGTGACGGGGTAACTGATCAATCCCCTTTGCTCTGACAAGTGAATCGCTATCTGTTAGGGACCAATCAGAGATCAGGCAATCAGTGTCTGATCATGATCAGGGACTGGAGAGTCCCTTTTTTTCTTTGAGGGAGTTCCTTCTTATTACTTCACATTGGCAGTTGGAACAGTCACATTTCTCTGCAAGATTGTCCATGTGTTGAATTAAAAGCTAACGATTCCATTTCAGGTGCCCAGAGGTGAAGGTTCACTGGTTCAGGCAGAAGCAAGCACCACCAAGTTCAGTGGTGCTTGCCCTGAAGCTCCTATGTGCGAGGTTGTTGCTATGTGCCATGAACTGGACTGAAACATTAAGGACACAATCCTATGCACTGAGAGATAAATAAGTCCCCAGTTCTTAACGCCACTGTGCTGTGCCTTAAGAGATAGATTTAGGAGGTCTGTCTGTATTTTTACAATGATGTCTTTATCCAAAAGTTTAGCATCTTTGAGGGTAATAGAAAGCAGTTAAAACAATCCCTTGGTGTAATGTTCATGTGGAGGATTAGGTATAAGGCCATGGGGGCTGTTAACATCCACTGATGCCAGCCTGCATAGGTGCATTTATCCCAAATTCATCACCATTCAGTACTTTTCAGAGACATTTAGCCTACAGTCCCATGCCCAGGAATCCTGTCTGGCCAGACACAGGAAAGCTGGCATTCCCACTGCAACCTCAGGCAAGCCTTCCAATTTTGTAGCAAGGATTTCATCCTCTCGGCTAGCAGTTCTCTTTCTGTGCCACCTAAGGTTGAGGAGTGATCAGCTGTTGGATAGCATAAAATAAGGCTCCGAACCAATGCTTCAGCCCCTTCCTCTGCACAAGCAGTTGTCTAATTGTTTTTCCACAACGTTCACATCCAAACTCCTTCCACATTCGGCTGGATGTCCTGAATTTTCTGAGCATGGAAGGTTACAGGCAGCCATATGGGATAGTGCCCTCTCTCTCCTCTCTGATTCCTCCTAACGCCTCCCCTCCCAAAAAAAAAAAAAAAAAAAAAAAAAATCCTGGCAGAAAAGTGAAAACTCGAACCATGGCCTGGAGAAAAGCTGAGTTCAGCAAAAAGAACAGCAGCAGACTTCACAGCAAGGAAGGAACACAGAGAAGTTCTTTGGCCTGTTAGGCTCTATCTCATTCTCCTTTTATGTACAGAGTGAATGAAATAGCAGCAATTGAGCTGATTGGTGCTTCTAAGGCTGCAAAACTGTTAGCCTGCTGCAAAGTGCTAGTCATCCAACCTCATTGTTCAGTCTTGACCCACGTCTGAAGTTTCTGCTGCCCCATTCATTCAGCTGGAGTGCAGGCTTTTGTCCCCTCTCTTTCAATAGAAGCCCGGGGTTAGGCAGTTAAGGAATGCTTTGTGATGCAGAGCAGCGTCTTCTGACTGCAAACAAGACCCTCCTCCGTCGGAGCAGGACAGCCCTGCGTTCTCCACCATGATGGAAAGGCAAGACATCGTTTCACACACACAGCCCAACTCAAGCCCACATGTGTGGTCTAGGAACCGGGTTTTGGGCAGCCTAGTGGAACAAAGAAAATACAGAGCAATACTTGATGCAGGCACAAGTGGAAGGCGCTGCAAGGGAGAGGGTAGCTGAAAGCCTGCTTATTTTCCGATAGTCAAGCCACATTTACCAAGCCTACATTTGACCTAATTGCGAAGGCCAGACTGCTACTAGCTGATCTAAAAGAGAGCAGAGATTCTTGCCAGTTCTATAGAGGAGCTGCTTTTTTGAGACAAACAGTGGAAGATAAGAAATATAATTCCAAGCTCAAGGCAGAAGGGTGGGGTCAGCCTGGTGGAGAACTTTATGCCTTCTAAATATTTGGTAGCAGCAAGGAAGGGGCTTCAAATATGCATGGCGTGGCTACCCTTACAGGGGAAATAGGGCCATAGCCCAAAGCCATCTTGTACATGACATTTTGAGGTGGAGATCTAAAGCCTTCTCCGAACTGGTGAGCTCCAGATGTTATGGACTACAACTCACATTAGCTCCGGCCATGTGGTCAATGGTTAGGAATTGTGGGCGTTGTGGTCCAAAACACCCAGAAAACACCAAACTGGAAAAAGACTGATCCAAAAAAAGATGAAATGTACAGTGGCAGATGCATTGTGGTACCTATCGTAACAGGATTTTGGGGCAGATGTCCAGGGCTCCCCTCAGCCAAGGGAGCTTGAGGGCCCCAAAACCCAGCTTCGCTGATTTATCACATCTTGAGGTAAAGCAAAACACATTACCGTTGAGCAGTAGCAGCCTCCCTGTAAGTCCTGTCTAAAATTACCTAATGGTACCACTGCAAAACACAGCACGAAATGGTATGTTTCCTGAGAGACTGCGTGGCTGCAGCTCCCAACGGAATCATTACAGCGTCCCAGGATACGTCTAACGTGTGAAAGCCTTTGGTAGCCATCAAAGGTCATGTTTGCATGGCTAAAATGCCTTGTATCTTCGAGTTATGGAATGGCAAAGCACAGGGCAAAAGCCTCTTTGTTGACATAACTTTTACCTCCTACACAGCTAAAAAGATTTATTATAATATATATTTTCATGAACCCAACTCAGATGCATGAAGTACTTCCCTACGTTTCAGAGAGTGCGTGTGTATGTGGGTTATAAACAGTGGAACCAGGGGGAAACAAGATACAAGAAATATGGATAGCAGCACTTCCAATAGTCCATTAAATACTCTAATTGCATAATTACACTGTCAGTTTTTTGTATTTCATTTCCCTGACCTCACAGTTGATGCTTAACCCCCCACACATTGCAGCCTTCGAAAGGCTTTGTCACAGTAAGACGGACAAAGCTAACTTCATGGTTTGGAACATCTTCCAGTGATTTTAGGAAGGAGTGTTGGAAGTGCCTAAGCCCAAGTAAAAGAGGAATAGTTTGATCACAGAGGGAAGTGTTGGCATTGTGCTAATCAACCTTCCCCAGCATGCTCATCTGTGTTTCTCCTATATTCAAGTCACATTCACCAAACCTGGTGTCCTCCGGAGGTCTCAAGGATGTTGTTCTCAAATTATCTGGGGGACAGTACGGCTGGGGACAACTGTGCTGTACCAAAACCTGATAAGGAATGAACAGTGTTACTCCGTCTCCACATTCTGTGCAAAAGGTCTTACAAGCCATACGTGTAGACAAACCCTTTAGGGCAGAAGTTTGCATCCTTTCGGCCCAAGGGCCAAACTCAGTTTTCGAGTTGATCCGAGACACCTCATTCCAGTGGTGAGCAGGGCTGAAATCAAGCATAGTATGGGCAATAAATATCCCAGCTCTTCCTGCTGGTAGCTAAGCTAGGAGAAGCATGACAGCCCTTTAGAATGGGAAAACCTGCAGAAAAGCCAGAAACCACCCAAGATCAGAATTAGGAGATGGGCAGATTGGTTGGAGAACCCTAGAAGGTTGACCTGGGTCTGTCGCCGGGTAACGTGTGCCTGCAGGCTGGAGTTCAACAACCTTGCTTTACGGGTTTGGTCTTACCAAAACCTTTAGTGGTTGTTTATTATTCCTTGTATTTTTACTCATATGGGACACTTTCCACCCATCATGGGAGACTGGACACATGTACCCACACACAGCACACGCGCTTTTCAAGTGCAATAGCTTTAGGATGCATTTCAGGCATGGGCACTCTCTCATCCAAGATCACTTTCAAAAGCATCCCTCATATTAAGTCCCCCAAAAGCATACATAATTGATCACATCTGAGAAAGGCACAGAGAAAACTTTCCCATTTTCTTGGGACACAAGCGACCATGCAAAAATGGCAGTTGAAATTAAGCAACGGGCTGCAGCTGGCTGATGGGCCAGTTTTCCGACCCATCTTAGAAGACTTGCTTCCTGTGGCAGGACTGGGCACCTTCCAATGGCCCACAGGACACATTCCCCTCTTGGAATCTGGAGTAGGCTGCAGAACCACCATGCTACCAAATTTCCTTCTGAATGTGGTGGTGCAGCATTGTGAAAAAAATCCTTTAGAAAGAACTATGCATGTGGTGAAACACCACAATTCAAAAGCAAAAGCACTCCTGTTCTGCTGCTAAATTCTAGCAGCATGAAGAACCCATGAAAATCAGAGGCATACAGTCCAGGAGGTGCCCAACCCTGTTCAAGTTGTCAAGAGCATAGGGTTACAGATTACTTTAATACTCTCCCCTTTCCTGCTATACAAGTCTTGTATTAACAAGAAACGTTTTATTCAGTCTGTTATATATGTAAACCATATCCAAGGGTGAATTAGACAGATAGTGCAATTCCCCTCCAGCATAGCAAAACAGTGCTCAATCAATATGTGATCGCACGTTCATCCACCAGCACAGAGAACAAAGGGCTTGGCCATTATCAGATGTCAGCTGGTTGATCTGGAGAACAGAGATAATTCAGATCGAGTATGAAGAGACAGTGGGACATAATGGCTTGAAGACTGGGCTGGGGAGTCAGGTGACCCAGCTTCTGGTCCCCACACAGCCTGGAAGCTTTGGTTCAGACACTGATTCTCAGCCTAACCTACCTTGCAGGGTTGTTGTGAGAATAAAATAGATACAGAGGGCTTGAAACTCATATTTAAGTGCTGTTGAATTCTTATCAACATCAAACTTAAATTTCTCATCCATTCTCATGTGCAAAGGAGGTTTGCTTTTTTGGAAAAAACAGTAACACTCTAGTTTGAATAGCAAGTCACAATATATCCTAGGTTTAGGAGAAATACAACTCAAAGCCAAGGAAGCCAAGATAGACAACCCCCCTTTTTAATAAAAGAAAACTGTGATCCCCATTATTTTATTTTCTCAGCCACACTGAACTCCAGGCCAAGCTTTCATTTTCTGTCTCACTATGCTTAAAGCTCTAGACACATTCAGTTTCATAGGGTTTAACTTTTATTTGGAAAAAAATCACCTGTACATTCTCACTTCATCAATCAAATAATGATGCATTGCTGTGTGCTTGCAAGAAAAGAGGGCAGATGCTGGACTTGAGCTTTCCCGCTTTTCCAGATCACTTGGAGACTAAAGAGGGAAACAAGCTGCTAGTCCACACCAAGCTTTTGGGAAACACAATATGAAGGGTTTATTTTCTCTTAAACTCAAGCCTCAGGATGGGCAGGTACACACAGTGAGAGAGAATGAGAGCACATGTGTACACACTGCCTTTTATTCTTTTTTCTGCAATCTTGGAAAAAATATATATGCTGCCCTTGGATAGCAAAACAAGTTTGGAGGGACATACATTTTGAGTGTTATATTTAGCCCTTTCCCAATAATCTCAAAAGGCAGATAACTGAGCCCTTCCAAATAAATAAGGATCAGGAACACAGAAGAGATAAATAAGATTTTTTTCTTTTAAAAAATCAGTAATATACACAATTACAAGGATTTTATTTGGTTTCGGAGGCAGAGAAAGAGCTAGATGGCAGCTTAAAGCTCATTTTTAGTAGTCTGAAAGTGTGACAACATTATTACACCAATTAGTTGGGTCTTCCCCACCCCTATCAGCTGGAAGTGACTCAACGTCTGAAGAGGCTGGTCACTGATACTGCCTTCCACAGAATATGTTGCCTGCTAATTTTACCCATTTAAAGAAAAATGGAAGAAAGTAAGTCAATTTCATTTCTTGAGTCCAACTTAATTGTTCAGTTCTGTGTGTGAGAGAGGGAGAGGTGGGGGAGGGATTCAGAAGAAAAATGCAACCGGAGGCCATCAATCATTTCAAGTCAAAAAGGAACCTGACCGTTTGCTGACTTTCACAGTATTGAGAGGCAGAAACAGCCCGTGGAGGAAGGGATGGAGCGAGCCACCTCCTACCCCTTCCTTTTGCTGGGAGCATCCTTAAAAATGCTAACACCCACCCAGTGGAAAGGTGTGTTCAAAGGGGGCTTACAAGATTCCTTCAAGAAGTCAACAGAGCAGAGTTCAGCGCCCACACCATCCACTGCTCTTTGGGGAGTGGGGCACAACAAAAGGCCCACTGTCATCTGCAAAAGCTTTCCATTCCCCCCCCCGCACCTGCAGAAACAACACCCCCATGAGAAGGAACGATGCAGTGCAAACCGAAAGAAAGAACAAAAGAAAGAACGAACGAAAGAAGAGTCTCTAATGATTGTCCATTGAGCTTTTAGGTGGGGAAGAAATGGAGAAGTCTGCATGAGGGAGAGAAAGTCGTGTTTTTTCAAGGTGGGGGGGTGCTTCTAGGAGAAGCACCAGCTCCCAGCAGAGCCGTTCAACAGCTGATCGCACTGGGCTGCTGTTTGCTGACAAAGTCCGAGATGAAGTCAAACTCGTTCTGTCCCAGGAAAAGCTCCGGCAGCTCCTGTACGCGGTCCAAGCCCAGCTCCATGGCCAAGGAAGTCAAGACCTCTTCGTCGATCAGCTCCGTGTCCATAACGTTCAAGGTGAGTGCCGGGGAGGGCAGGTGTGGCATGCCGGGGTGCTGGCCCGGCCCCATCCTGTACTGCTGCGCCCCCGCCCCGATGGGCCCGCTGCTCATGCCCATGAGCGGGTGGCCCTGGTACTGCGTGTTCAGTTTCTGCAAGTGCATGCTGGCCATGAGCTGCTGCGTGCCCACCGAGGCCGTGTAGTGCTGCTGCTGCTGCTGCTGCTGCTGCTGCTGCTGCCCTGGCCCGCCGAACATCACGCCGCCCGGCCCCTGCTGGTGGTGGCCCAGCTGTCCGTTCATGCCGGCCCTGGGCCTCATGCCCCCCTCCATGGCCGGGCCGCCGTACTGCATCACCTGGTGGCTGGCAGGTAGCGTCCTTAGCACGTGCTGCCCGTGCTGCGGCGGAGGAGCCGGCGCCCCCGCCATCCCTATCCGGTAGCCCTGTAGCCCGTTCACGCCGTGGCTCATCGGCAGCATCATGTGATCGGCCATCGCGACCCGCACCCTGCGGAGAGAGAACAGACGCAGGTTAGGAGGGTCAGGGCAGGATCCAGGGCAGGTTGCAGCCATGCCGCGGAATCCTGCTAAAGCGCGCGGGCTGCAGAAGTGAGCACCAGAGGGATGGATGTGGGTCTGAGGTTCTGCACCCTTGCCGAACAGGTTGCCCGAAGCGCCACCTCTGAGCACCAGCAACCCAAAATCAGCAGCAGGTTGCTTCTTGCTGGTCTGCCCAGGCTGGGGTGGGTTCAGAGTCTCAGAGAGGAATTCTCCCACCCTGACTTGGAAGCACTAAGGATGGAAACAGTGGCCTTCTGTGTGCCAGACAGACGCTTTCCTATCAAGCACTGGCTGTTCCCCTTTTATGGCTCCTGAGGGATTTTTTAAATTTCAGCAGAATTCTCTTTTTGCTCCATTTCAACTCTGCAATACATCCTGTAAGGGAAGCTAGGCCAAGACTTGCCCATGGTCAACCAGCGAGCTTCATGCCTGGGCATGGTGGGTGGAAGCTGCCCCTGGTTGGTCACCAGCAACTAATTTTACTGGATTAGGAGCAGCAAGCCATCAACTTCACCGAATCAGTGGCTAAGCATGTTTCTCTAAGGTCTCGAGCCGTTTCTCTCAATCTGGGGCCCTCTGCTGGGATACAACACCTGGAGCCCTCCAGCTGCCCTAGGGTCCCAGGAAATTTCCCATATGTCCTCAGCAATAGACCAGAGTTCATCAGTGACCCACAGACCAACCTCTACAAGGGAGCGGGGACTGTGATAGAGGATTTCTGTGAGATAAGCCAGAGGTTTGCTTCTGGATGTGTGGGACTACAACTGACACCACCCAGTCTGCGCAGGGTGATGAGAAGAAGGCCGAGCTGTGGTACCCACACGGCTCTGCCTCCAACTATCCTCGTGCCTTCCGGTTATTTTGGACTGCAGTTCACATGAGTCGTAGCCATGTGGTCAATGGCCAGGAACCCTGGAAGTTGTGGTCTGAAGGATCTAAGAATGTAGAATTCCTGTTAGGTTAGACTATGTCCTACATCTCACTGACTACAATGCACAACCAGAGGAACTTGTAGGTGGCCTACAAAGAGGATGCCAAGGCAGCTTTAGGCCTGGCAATGGGCAACGCTGAGGTATCCTGCCCCTGGATGCAGGAGTCGGCTTTAAAGATGCTCTTGCAGGGCCGTATCCCAGCAGTGGACAGGGAAACATACCAAAATGGTGTAGCTTAAAGCTCTTCCTACAAGTGTCTATGCCTTAGGTCAGGCATTTCAAGCACTGAGAAGAAGAAGAAAACACTGCAAATGCTGCCAAACCATCCATCAGCTGGTGGTTGGAGTTGGACCATCTGGGGAAGCACCCAAGGGCCAGAATGGGACTCCTGGTGGGTCAAATTTGGTATAGTTCTGCCTAGACAGGAGAGGGACGAGGCCGGTCCGAAGAATACTTTCCCACCTTCCCAAGGCTTTCCTTTGTAAGGCTGTATGTTAGATGGGTTAGGTTTGGGCTGGCAGCCAGCCCTGAACAGATGAGTGGTATTGTGGGGAAAAGAAAGGATGCCCTTCCTTCCGAAAATCTGTCTATAAGGGAGTTTAAATTTGGGGGACCCCACTGCCCCCAGATTCTTAGGCTAAGCAGGCCAATCCCTGCTTCTGAATCCTCCAACTGTTTCCTCCGAAGCAGCAATTCTAGCATACCACACACCTTGGAAACTAACAGGTCCTTTTATCTTTTAACTTTGGCTTTTCCATACATGAACAATTTCTGAACTGTCATCTAATATAATTCCTGTGTAATCTTTGGGACACCTCTGTAAATTGCTTTGGAGTTTCTTCAACAAGCATATTATAATGCTTTTATGGAGCTTGAGCAAATCCACCTTATTTTAAACATTCATATGTAAACCACTTAAGTAAAAATTCACTAATAAATAATATGCCATTTCTGGGATTTTCATTTGTGAAAGTGCATCCTCCTGTGTGTCTAATCTCTCCTCTCCCATATATACAGAACAACACACTGGTAAATGATTGTATTTCACTCTCCAGACAATCCAAAGCCTACGTTTAGCAGATGGCCAAATCATCAAAGAGGAAGGCCAACAGCCCCGGCGCCAGGACTGCCCCCTAGCGGCCGGATTGCGCGCTGCGGATGCGGTGGTCCATGCCGCCCCCTATCGCCTAGGAGGAACAACGACAAGACGCGGGAGTGACTCCGGATAAGTAAAACCAAGTTGAGCTGCCGAAGTCGCGGGTTTAACAGACTGCGCCCGACCGCTCCTCACTCTCGGCACGCCATGCGCGGCGCCGGCACACTGCATCCAGTCTGCGAACACAAGCAAGCAGGCCGGTGCCGGGGACCCAGAAATCCATCTCCCGTCCGCAGGTTCATGTGGCTCCGAACAGGGCACGCGTCTGCAACTGAGCCTCCCGCAGGAGCGAGGCGGCAGCCGCCCGGATCCGGAGCGCGGCCGCGCCGCCGCCCCGCCTGCAGCACGCCCGGAGCACGGCTCCCGTCTCCCGTTCCCAGCCCGCTCCTCGCTACCACCCCCTTGCTCTCGCCTCTCCCTCCTTCCCCTCCCCCTTGCCGGCTCAAGGCAGCTCCCGCCCCCCGGCACATTCCGCCAGCACAAAGATCAGCACTTTGAACACAAAAGTTTAACCCTTCCCTCCCTGCTCCCGAGCTCAGACAATGCAGCCCTGATTAACGCTCATTACGAACTGGGGCGGACAAGCAGGAGAGCCAGCAAACCGGGAGGACGCCGCACAGCGAAGAAGAGGCACGGCCTCGCCACACCGGCGGGCAACCGACACGCAATGCAGGGCAAGGACTTTTAAGATCGGGACATCTGCGCCCAGCCTTCCTGCGCCCGACGCTTCCCCCGAAGGGCGACCCCTCCTCCTCCTCCTCGGATACGTACCCCTGAAAGGCGGCGGTCCTAAGGAAAGGCTGCAGAATTCGCAAATCGTCCGGGCTACGAAGAAGTCAGCTCGGCAGAACAAAAGCAGCAGCGTCGGCTTTTCCGTTTGCTGCTGCTGCTGCTGCTCTTCCAGCTGCGAGCCCCGCGAAGAAGCTGGCCGGCCAGCCTGTTTGCTTGCTCGCTCGCCGACCCTTCCCTAAGCCGGGCGCATCAGTTGCAAAACATGCCACCTATGACCACTTGCACCACTTCGGTTCCACTGTGCGCATTAGGAGGTGAAACTTGAGCTTATATACAGAAAGCGCTGTGTACAGGGGCGTGGCGACAGGCCCCGCCCCCTCGGCCTCTGATTGGTGCAGATCGCCCGAACGGTGGGTTTTTTCCTTTTGCCCGCTTTCTCCCTTTCCCCCCACCCCCGGGCGGTGAATTGGTGGCCGAGGTGAAGAAGAACCCCGCCTACCTGTTTTTGTTTCATCTCCGAGGAAGGAGGGATTGCAACACAATGGCGGGAGCTTGCAGCATGCAGATCGCGCACAGGCGCGCAGGGGAGGAGAGGGAAAGCCCTTCCTCCTTCCCTTTCTTGCCTGCTAAAGCCCGCCAGGCGGAAAGCTCCGTTGGCCTTGGGCTCAGCGTTCTTTGCGGATCGCGTGTGCGCGCCGAACGTGTGAACACGCAGCGGGGAAACGTTGGCAGCAGCACTGCTGCTTCTTCCTCTGCTGGTTGGCGAAGGAAGGGACGGCAGGGGCGGGGAGAGATCGGGGTGAGAGAGGGCGCGGTGTTGTTGCTGCCAGCTCCTTGCCAAAAGTAGGCGCAAAGGCGAGGCGCGTTGTTGACGATTTATGCTCTGGCAGTGGGGGGTGCATTCTTCGGCGTGACTTGCCTTCGGCTGTATGCAAACCAGGAAGAGTTTGGAGAGTTTGTTCCTCTTTATGCACACGGACATTCGCACAAGGTTGGATTAAGGGAGCGGGTGGCGGAGTACAGCGCGTTTCTCTGGACCTCACACCGCCCTTTACTCCTCGGCTGCTCGCTTCCCAAACGTTTTTCCATGTAAAGGAGTGGAGGGAACGTTTTCTTCTTGGGATCACCTCGATCACCTCTGTCTTACCCAGTGGGTTGCATGCACATACGCACGAATGTCATCCTTGCACGTGTGACTTGGCCTTTCACCAGGACATTCTTTCCCTTGAAATAAAGATGAGTCACCCAGCTGAACGGTTTCAGCATCCATTCGAAGTGGCCTGGTGCATGACTTGGCAACCTGGTGTCAGAACATCTGGAGAACTACACCGTTCAGCATGCCGCACTGCTGGATGTCCTGGGTAGGAATGATGCGCATGCAAGCCGAAACTCTTGAGGGCCACAGTTAGCCACCCCTGGCCTGTCGCGCCACACTAAAGTTCCATTTAGAACTGCATCCCTTCCCAACAGCGGCCAACCAAACAGGCTTCTGGGAGAAGCCATTAATGCTTCCTCCCGTATAGAAACATAGCAACAGAGTGAGTCCAAAGGGGGCTCCCGGGCCATCTGGTCTGACCCCCTGGATCCACTCATGACTTATTTATTTATTTATTTATTAAAACATTTATATGCCGCCGCTTGCCGAGGCCTCGGGGCGGCTTACAACATCAAATAAAATACAAAATACATTAAAAAAATAACAATTAAAATATATACAGTAAAATAAAATAAGCCGCCCTGGCCAAATAAAATTCAATAATATTAACATTTAAAATGCTGCTTGCCCACTATGTGCATGTCCAGCCTATCCTTGAACACCCTCACCGATGGGGCTTCAACCACCTCCTGTGGAAGCCCATTCCATGCCTCAGAGTCCTAACTGGGATCCAGTAGGCAAAGATACAGTCCCATTTAATTAGGTGTCTTATCATCATAGATCTGTCCTTGTTTGGATAGATCTGTCCCTAAGTGGTCCCATAATTGCTTTCAGAGAAAAGCCCAACCAGATCTGACCAAAAGCCCATCTAGTTCTGAGGTGTGGGGGAACCGGCAGCCCACCAGATGTTAGAAACATGCTGTTTTCATCCTGAGGCAGATCTTTGGTTCATTTAGCTCAGTGTTGTTGACACAGACTGGCAGCATTAGCTTTCCGGCATTTCTGCAGGCATCTTTCCTACACCTACTTGGAGTTGCAGAGGATTATACATGGCTATTTTGCAATCAATAGAGCATATTTTAAATATTTGCACTGCCTCTAGGTTTTATTTTGGTCTTTATGTTATTCCACAGTTTAAAAATTTAAAACGTTTACATCATGTCTGATAGTTTTGTATCATGTGAGATTAATTGTTGCAAACCACCCAGAGAGCTCTGACTATTGGATAGGGAATATATAAATAAGGGCACAGTCCTATTGATTCTACCCTCGGTGCTTGGAACCCCTGAACTTAGAGGCCTGCAAGCATCCAGGGCAGAGCAGGAGGAGTGGTCTCTTGATGTCCCCTGCTCTGCGTTTGAGCTACATGACCATTTTTGTCTCTCCTGCTTGGAATGTTGTTGAAGGGGAGGGAAGAAGGCTGGAATGCTGTCAGGATATTGCATATCCCGACATTCCCATTCTCCCTTCCCAGAGAACTCCCCCGTCACCTCTCCAAGGTTGATTTCTCCACCTCAGCTGGGCAAGAGAGCACATGAAGTGTCCTCCTCCGTATCTGGCATGGAAACCACGAGGTCAGAGGAAAATGAAGTGGAAGCATTACAGAGAGTGACGATTCGATCAGTGCTAGAAGGTTTGGAGAACTTCTTAGACGGTTTCTCCTAATGTTTAACTGAAATTTGCTTCCCGTTGGTTTCCACCCATTCATTCTAGACCTGTCCCCTCTGGAGCTACACAGAACAAGTCTGTCCCATCTTCTGAGTATGACAGCTGTTCAGATATTTTAAGCCCATTATCTTGTCTTCCCTGGATGCTTTCTTCTCTGCTGTAGATGAACTGGTTTTTCGACTCTTGTAGGACGGTTTTCAGAACCTTCATGATCCTGGACCCACTGTTACTTGTCAATGGCCTGCCTGAATTGGGGCATCTGGAAGAACACCAAAAAACAACAAGAACAACAACTTTGGGGGAAAATTCAAAACAATGCTCTAACAGTAGAGGAGGTTAAGATCAATGCATTAGTCATTTTGGCTAATGGATGGGATTAAATTCTAATAAATAAATGCATTCAGCAGAGTAAGAGCTGCAGAATCGAAAGATTGAAAAAAGGTCCAGGTAAATTAAAAAAAGTTTTGCCCAGTGCATAAGGGTGCCCAGTGAAATCTCTATGAGAAAGCTTTCTCTGTGAGAAAACTGGGCACCACAGTTAAAAGAACTTGTTCCCCACTCATTCCTCACAGAATTCCTGATTTTGGGGTACCCAGAGAAAATTTCAGATGTTGACCTGAACTCTTGGGAAGGTTCATGTGGGAACAGGTGATCCTTCAGTGCCCTCAATCAGATACTGGCTGTGTAGAACCTTTCATGGCCATGTTTTTCTTACATGCCCATCGTGATGACATGAAGCCTGCTTAGCACTATGCAGCCTCATGGGAGTTCTTTTCTGTCTCCGTCTTCTGCAACAGTGGGCTTGTTTTGAAGGTAAATGGAACAAACTTTGTCAAATGCAATTAGCGTGGTGCAGTGGTCAGAGACAATGGTCTAATTCACATGTAATGGCAACACAGAGTAATTGTCAAGTATGAATTGTTACTGAATCACAGGGTATCACTATGTGTGAATGCTGCCCTTTGGTTTAACTATGCATTGTTAACCACAAACAGCTCAGTAAGTGAACTTCTGTTGGGCTGTTTGTGATTAACAATGCATAGTTAAGCCACAGGGCAGAGTTCACATGAAATGACAAGCCAAAATTCAATCAGCTGTGATTCAGTGGCAACCCATATGCAATTCTTTTGCACAGAATCTTAACACATAGTGTGGGTTGTTGAATTCTGGGTTGTTGTGATATGTGAACCTATCTGTACTAACAAACCATGGTTTATTAACCGTGAACAATCTTTTGAACTCTAGGTTGTTTAAATGTTGGGTTGTCTTTAGGTGTGATTCCAGACTTGTGAGTTGTTCATGGGTTGCTTTGCCAGACTACAAGAGTGTCAACCTCCCAGCATTGTAGCAATGTTTGGGGTATTTGAGGGAGGGGACAAATGAAGAAAGAAACCAGCTAAGTACTGGGGAAACCATAGTTTGCTTGATCAACAGCCAGACAACCTTTGCTAGGGCAACAGACTGAGAGTTAAATAAACCATAGGTTAGCATTATGTGCAAGTCTGGCTAGTACTGAACCACTTGGTTTGGAGACCAGCCCTACCACTGCATTGACCAAGGCACCTGTTTTTCTATTTCACATGCCAAAATAGCTGGTCCAGTCTTGTATTCTTCACACTTTGACTTGTGGCGGGGCTGGGTGCCCCATACGGCTCTGCTCCATGGCCCTATGGAACCCGCCATGCTGTGATATTTGTTCTGACCTTGGGCCTGTCTAACCTACAGTATAGCATTATTGTGAGGGATGGAAACCATTCAAGCCACCCTGAGCTTCATGCAAAGAGGGAGGATAAACAATCATTAAACAGATGCATGTTTATTATGCTTGGATAAAAGAAAAACAGGCCTCTTCGTCCTGACTGGATAGAACAATGGGATCAGACCACCCTCCCACCCCAAGGGGAGAATTATTAGGAGATCATGGGAGAATTACAGACCATATGAAAATGGGGAGAAGGGTTGATTCATTCTTAGATCTGAAGTTTCTCTCTCCTGCTACATACACATTTCCCTGAGAGCAACATGTAGTTTGCTTTTCCAGCCGGACTTAATATAGGACATGCATCCACTGCATGAAAGATTTCCTTTTATTTATACCAGTGGCTTTGCTCTGGATTTCTTTGTGTGGTGGCAAAACAAGTTTGACTTCATCTTGGATTTTGTCAGCTCTGCCGGCACCAGGAGAGTTGGCAAAGGAAAAGGATTTGTGCACTGCAATTAAAGAAAATGGAACATGGCTCTCTTGTAATGAAGTGAAGTGCACTTTGGGAAAAATAATCCCAATTTGCACTGTGAACAGAGATCGTTGGGCTCTAATGACTGTTAGCACTCAGGGAATAGATCCTGGATGGATTGTGAATTTGCCCGCTGGAAAGCAAACATCACTGCAATGTAAACAGAAGATTAGGAATGATTCACAGGTCAGAGCACAGTTGCTTGTTGATCCCAAAGTACCAGAGACCTGTTTGTGGTTCATT